ACATCCCTGCCGGCCATTCCCTCCCCTACCCTGGACGACGCTGGGCCAATTGTGCGCTGCCCCATGGGTCTCCCGGTCGCAGCCGGCTACGACAGAGCCTGGATTCGAACCAGGGTCTCTAGTGGCACAGCTAGTACTGCGATGCAGTGCCTTAGACCACTGCACCACTCGGGAGATAACACCTACTCATTCAAGGGTTTTTCTTTATTTTTACTATTTTCTACGTTGTAGAATAATAGTGAAGACATCAAAACTATGAAATAACACATTTGGAATCATGTAGTAACCAAAAAGGTGTTAAACAAATCCAAATATATTTTATATTTGAGATTCTTCAAATAGACACCCATTGCCTTGATGACAGCTTTGCACACTCTTGGCATTCTCTCAACCAGCTTCACCTGGAATGCTTTTCCAACAGTCTTGAAGGAGTTCCCACATATGCTGAGCACTTGTTGGCTCTTTTCCTTCACTCTGCTGTCCGACTCATCCCAAACCATCTCAATTTGGTTGAGGTCGGGGGATTGTGGAGGCCAGGTCATCTGATGCAGCACTCTATCACTCTCCTTCTTGGTAAAATAGCCCTCACACAGCCTGGAGGTGTGTTTGGTCATTGTCCTGTTGAAAAACAAAATGATAGTCCCACTAAGCCCAAACCAGATGGGATGGCGTTTCGCTGCAGAATGCTGTGGTAGCCATGCTGGTTAAGTGTGCCTTGAATTCTAAATAAATCACAGACAGTGTCACCAGCAAAGCACCCCCACACCATCACACCTCCTCCTCCATGCTTTACGGTGGGAAATACACATGCAGAGATCATCCGTTCATCCACACCGCGTCTCACAAGGACATGGCAGTTGGAACCAAAAATCTCAAATTTGGACTCTAGACCAAAGAACACATTTCCACCGGTCGAATGTCCATTGCTCATGTTTCTTGGCCCAAGCAAGTCTCTTATTATTATTGGTATCCTTTAGTAGTGGTTTCTTTGCAGAAATTCGACCATGAAGGCCTGATTCACACAGTCTCCTCTGAACAGTTGATGTTGAGATGTGTCTGTGACTTGAACTCTGTGAAGCATTTATTTGGGCTGCAATTTCTGAGGCTGGTAACTCTAATGAACTTATCCTCTGCAGCAGAGGTAACTCTGGGTCTTCCATTCCTGTGGCGGTCCTCATGAGAGCCCGTTTCATCATAGCGCTTGATGGTTTTTGCGACTGCACTTGAAGAAACTTTCAAAGCTCTTCAAATGTTCTGTATTGACTGACCTTCATGTCTTAAAGTAATGAGCTGTTCTTGCCATAATATGGACTTGGTCTTTTACCAAATAGGGCTATCTTCTGTATACCAACCCTACCTTGTCACAACACAACTGATTGGCTCAAACGCATTAAGAAGGAAAGAAATTCCACAAATTAACAGGCACACCTGTTAATTTAAATGCATTCCAGGCAACTACCTCATGAAGCTGGTTGAGAGAATGCCAATAGTGTGCAAAGCTGTCATCAAGGCAAAGGGTGGCTATTTGAAGAATCTCAAATATTAAATATGTCATAGTTTTGATGTCTTCACTATTATTCTACAATGTAGAAAATAGTTTTAAAAAATAAAGGAAAACCCTTGAATGAGTAGGTGTTCTAAAACTTTTGACCGGTAGTGTATATATACTTTTTTTATTCTGATTTTTCAGGAGGTGCTGCAGCACGCTCAGCACCCCTACTTCCCGCGGCTGTGGGGGTGTGTATGAAAATGTGAGCTGTCCCCTTGAGCTCATGCATATGAATTACATTTACTCAGTCATCTGTTTGGACAGATACCTGTTGGGTCTTGAGGATGCCTTTTCACTTGAATGAGCAGAACAATAATACCCCACTGTTGCACAATGCTCTGATTCTTTCATAAAAATGTCTGTGCTTTTTTAATGCTGAAATATTGTCCTCATCAGCATGCCTTGAAGAACAAGCTCTTTATTCTTTATTACTATTGCATTGTCAATCTTCATATAGCAGCCAAGGCCTTTGCAGCAGCTGAGGGCTTTAGGCCAGCAAAGTAAGCCTCCTCTCACACAACAAAATCACAGAACTTATTTGTCCTGCTGGAACTTGAGTTTTACAACACACACAACCCTCAATCATTCACTGTGCATAGACAAGGCAACTTTCAAAGCATTTGTCCATCTTTGCTTTAGGTATAGAAACTGCATGGATTGAGTTAGGTATTAGCACGCCATTCATCTCAAGCCATGTGTGGAAAAAAAGCATGCCTTGGTCGCTGCAGAGCAAATGCACCATTGCACGGTCTGATTAAACTTTTAGAGACTCGACTTATCTTAGCAGCAAAGGCATGGGTGGTCAAAAAGGAGAAAATCTAGGTTAATCTCTGTGGAATCATGGCCTGGAGGGATCTATTATGATGTGGTTTGTATTTCATCTCTTGAACTTCTTCCAGAGCGAGTAGGTACATGTCTCTGCATTCCCTGTGGAGCAGAAACAATGCTGAGCTGAGCTGGGTTTCTGCTTACAGTTGATGAGAAGGGGACGAGGAGCTGATGCGTCTCAGCATTGCACTAATAAGGAGCAAGGTAGAATGAGATTGAGTATGCATTACCAAAGGATCTGTACACAAATCTGTGCAACCACAGACCTAGAATGAGATTCGATTTCTATGTGTCCATCAGCAATTACATGGTTATTACAGTGAACATCACTGCTCTGCTGTTATTGATCTTACTGAGAGCTTGGCATATGGGGAGGTAACTGGCATGTCCTCTCTTGTCTCACTGTCATCATGTAGGTAACAACATAAACAATTGAGAAAATACTGCAATATGTCAATATGTTGGATTTTGTTTGTACCCTCCACAGAAATTATCACAGTTTCTAGACTGTGATTTATGACTCGCATATGTTTAAAATAATATTGTTCAATCAAAGCTGGTTAGGGTGTTTTAGTATTTATTTTAGTCTGGTATGACTGCAATGTAAAACTCTGACACAGTTTGCCTCCCCACAAAAAAAGTGACGTCTTGACAATATTTCCCTTCTTGTTGGTGATATGTTCAATCAATGACACAGGTCCCTGGTGTGAGACACCTTACAACTCCATTATAGTAAAATGTGTGTGTGTGTGTGTTCACTCATGTCACCAATGTGAGAAAACCCTGCTAGTTTTGTCTCTTGTTTGAGGAAGTGAGCCCACCCACGTATTGTCGTTTGAGATCTCTGTCCAACTTACACTGTAGTTTCAACTGTGTCAATAATTAATATAACCTATGTGAAATGGTATTTGGTTCACTTGAATGTGTTTACTAACCCAAGGTTCCCATCTAAGCTGAAGTGAGTGTCAACTTCATGGAGTGTAACCTAAGAAAGGTCAGAGCAGCTCTTTATTTGGAGCTCTGAGGTCTCATACAATAGCCTCACAGTGACGCAGACTGATAGAGGCCTGCATAGCCTTGTAGAGGTATGTTTTAGACCTGAAAAGAGGGCTTTGTACATCTGCAACTATCAGGACCCAGGACACTCAATAGGTTCAGATTTAATGTATGCTCTTCATGCTGATATTTGCTTGGTTGAAAAACTGCATTCCATCATTTCCATCAGCCATCATTTTCTATAAGATCTGCAATATCGTCCTTTGTGCATTGTTCTCTTCATGTAATCTCCCTGTTACACCTGTCTTGTCTCGACAGATAGAATCATCTCTGAACCAGTGGAGGACACAGATACTAGTAGCTTCATGGCAGAAATGGTACGATCCTCTAATATCATCAGAAACAAACCAGCGTAAACAAATATGCTATCTGAATTTAACGGGATAATCCACCCCCAGAAATAAAAATCATGAAACTCCTGTCAATTTGGTGAAAGCCTATGTTCTATCAATGGTTAAAATAACAATTTACCCAATGATGTAACTTATATGTGGTCCGTCTGTGAAATCAGGAAATCGTGTAGAAACGCGTCATAGCTACCTGTTTCTCGTCACTGGAGATAGGGGATAAGACACTCTCACATTTCATAACACTTTTAAAACAATTACCTGCACCCAGATCGCCAAATCAGCCAATGGATGGTATGGGCATACTTGTCTAGAACATATCCATCCGTTTATATCATCATGACAAAGTATAGATTTCGCTTAGATGTGCTCAATCTAAACAGTGTACCAAATCATTCAACTCAGTTTGTCCTTTAAGTACCATCTCGCAATGTGCCCTGTGTGTCTGTGAGAAGTGTGGGAAATGGCCGTTGTTGCCATAGCAACGCACTCTGCACTCGCTCTGGGTAGTGACGAACTGCAAGTTGAACTCGCTGAGATAGACTCCTAAATTGATAGTGCAGTTTGTTTAGGCGATTTTACAGCTAGCTAGCTACTTCACATGCTGATATTGACTTTGGTATTATTGTGTGTAGCTATGTTTGCTAGCTAGCTAGCTCCTAGCTAACAAGTCAGCCAGCCCGAGAGAGCATTGCATGGTTGGTTTTGTAGTCGATTTGAACTGCAACAGATTTCCACAATGATTTTCACGTTGCTACCAACCTTGTTATAACAACAAAATGAAACATTTGTTCTCAAAAAATATTGTTTTCACGTATTAGTGTTATTTAACAGTGTTTAACACTGTTTAATAATATGAATTAGTGGTTTGGGGTGGATTATCCCTTTAATTGAATAGATGCATTATTTTTGTTATCTCAAAAGAATACAACAAAATGATTGTTAACTCTTCAGCCTGTTTAGATTGAGAAGAAAATATCCATGTAAAGTCATTGAAGCGTAGTTGCGTACATTATTCTGGAATTTCTTACGCCCAGGGACTGATATAGAAGAAAGTTGCAACAAGCCACTTTTCGCTATCCAACACAGAGTATAATTTTCCTCCACAATTTACAGACATGTTCATTGCTATCCCTCTGTCTTAAAATATTTACATCAGCACTGATATATAGTATTAAGATCACAATCCATCAGTGTGCCACTTCCTAGCAAAGCTGAACATGTGTGTTTGTGTCTCTTGGTCCTTGAAGTCCAACTATCCAGTCCAAGTCACAGAACCTCAAGGTAGGTGCTCTAAGTTCAGTACATCTGTTCACACAACTGATTTGCCTTTCTGTGCACTCTGATGAGAAAGTACAACATTTACTTACACCGTCAATCTGTCCTTTCCAGATACAGTGACACTGCAGCTGAGGTCCATGCCACCTGGCTACCTCACACCTCCATCAGGCAGAATAAGACAGGTGGGTAATGGGGTCACTTACATTGAGTCTTGACAGGATGCTCCTGTACACTGTAGCTTATTAAAGATAACTCCAAACCTCTAACCCAGCATCTGAAATGTCATACACTGGCTATCTGTAATGTTTGAGCCTTTGTAACGGAAACTAGTTTTTGGTGTCAAAACCACAAGACCATTTTGATGGGGGAGAGTGATACATTTTTTCCATAGGAAAAGTGTTGAGTTGGTTTAAAAAGGTTATGTTATTTTAATGGAATCAATTAGAATATCGTGAGGTATTCTGAATCATATCTGTAGTTAATTCCTCTCTTTAATTAGAACAACTGAATGTAATGTAATGTTTTGTTTTACCCAACTTCATACAGCCAGTAGAAGATGGTGTAGAGTGCATCTGCACAGGCTCCATCTTACAAGGTAAATTAAATTATCATTTTATCATGATATACAGTGGCTTGCGAAAGTATTCACCCCCCTTGGCATTTTTCCTATTTTGTTGCCTTACAACCTGGAATTAAAATTGATTTTTGGGGGGTTTGTATCATTTGATTTACACAACATGCCTACCACTTTGAAGATGCAAAATACTTTTTATTGTGAAACAATCAAGAAATAAGACAAAGAAACAGAAAACTTGAGCGTGCATAACTATTCACCCCTCCAAAGTCAATACTTTGTAGAGCCACCTTTTGCAGCAATTACAGCTGCAAGTCTCTTGGGGTATGTCTCTATAAGCTTGGCACATCTAGCCACAAGGCAAAACTGCTCCAGCTCCTTCAAGTTGGATGGGTTCCGCTGGTGTACAGCAATCTTTAAGTCATACCACAGATTCTCAATTGGATTGAGGCCTGGGCTTTGACTAGGCCATTCCAAGACATTTAAATGTTTCCCCTTAAACCACTCGAGTGTTGCTTTCGCAGTATGCTTAGGGTCATTGTCCTGCTGGAAGGTGAACCTCCGTCCCAGTCTCAAATCTCTGGAACACTGAAACGGGTTTCCCTCAAGAATTTCCCTGTATTTGGCACCATCCATCATTCCTTCAATTGTGACCAGTTACCCAGTCCCTGCCGATGAAAAACATCCCCACAGCATGGTGCTGCCACCACCATGCTTCACTGTGGGGATGGTGTTCTCGGGGTGATGAGAGGTGTTGGGTTTGCGCCAGACATAGCGTTTTCCTTGATGGCCAAAAAGCTCAATTTTAGTCTCATCTGACCATAGTACCTTCTTCCATATGTTTGGGGACTCACCAAACGTGTTTGTCACACCAAACGTGTTTGCTTATTTTTTTCTTTAAGCAATGGCTTTTTTCTGGCCACTCGTCCATAAAACCCAGCTCTGTGGAGTGTACGGCTTAAAGTGGTCCTTTCCAGCTCCTTCAGGGTTATCTTTGGTCTCATTGTTGCCTCTCTGATTAATGCCCTCCTTGCCTGGTCCGTGAGTTTTGGTGGGCGGCGCTCTCTTGGCAGGTTTGTTGTGGTGCCATATTCTTTCCATTTTTTAATAATGGATTTAATGGTGCTCCGTGGGATGTTCAAAGTTTAGGATATTTTTTTATAACCCAACCCTGATCAGTACTTCTCCACAACTCTGTCCCTGACCTGTTTGGAGTGCTCCTTGGTCTTCATGGTGCCCCTTGCTTAGTGGTGTTACAGACTCTGGGGCCTTTCAGAATAGGTTTATATATACAGTGAGGGAAAAAAGTATTTGATCCCCTGCTGATTTTGTACGTTTGCCCACTGATAAAGACATGATCAGTCTATAATTTTAATGGTAGGTTTATTTGAACAGTGAAAGACAGAATAACAACAAAAAAATCCAGAAAAACTTATGTCAAAAATGTTATAAATTGATTTGTATTTTAATGAGAGAAATAAGTATTTCACCCCCTCTCAATCACAAAGATTTCTGGCTCTCAGGTGTCTTTTATACAGGTAACGAGCTGAGATTAGGAGCACACTCTTAAAGGGAGTGCTCCTAATCTCAGCTTGTTACCTGTATAAAAGACACCTGTCCACAGAAGCAATCAATCAATCAGATTCCAAACTCTCCACCATGGCCAAGACCAAAGAGCTCTCCAAGGATGTCAGGGACAAGATTGTAGACCTACACAAGGCTGGAATGGACTACAAGACCATCGCCAAGCAGCTTGGTGAGAAGGTGACAACAGTTGGTGCGATTATTCGCAAATGGAAGAAACACAAAATAACTGTCAATGTCCCTCAGTCTGGGGCTCCATGCAAGATCTCACCTCGTGGAGTTGCAATGATCATGAGAACGGTGAGGAATCAGCCCAGAACTACACGGGAGGATCTTGTCAATGATCTCAAGGCAGCTGGGACAATAGTCACCAAGAAAACAATTGGTAACACACTACGCCGTGAAGGACTAAAATCCTGCAACGCCCGCAAGGTCCCCCTGCTCAAGAAAGCACATATACAGGCCAGTCTGAAGTTTGCAATGAACATCTGAATGATTCAGAGGAGAACTGGGTGAAAGTGTTGTGGTCAGATGAGACCAAAATCGAGCTCTTTGGCATCAACTCAACTCGCCGTGTTTGGAGGAGGAGGAATGCTGCCTATGACCCCAAGAACACCATCCCCACCGTCAAACATGGAGGTGGAAACATTATGCTTTGGGGGTGTTTTTCTGCTAAGGGGACAGGACAACTTCACCGCATCAAAGAGACGATGGACGGGGCTATGTACCGTCAAATCTTGGGTGAGAACCTCCTTCCCTCAGCCAGGGTATTGAAAATGGGTCGTGGATGGGTATTCCAGCATGACAATGACCCAAAACACACGGCCAAGGCAACAAAGGAGTGGCTCAAGAAGAAGCACATTAAGGTCCTGGAGTGGCCTAGCCAGTCTCCAGACCTTAATCCCATAGAAAATCTGTGGAGGGAGCTGAAGGTTCGAGTTGCCAAACGTCAAGCTCGAAACCTTAATGACTTGGAGAAGATCTGCAAAGAGGAGTGGGACAAAATCCCTCCTGAGATGTGTGCAAACCTGGTGGCCAACTACAAGAAACGTCTGACCTCTGTGATTGCCAACAAGGGTTTTGCCACAAAGTACTAAGTAATGTTTTGCAGAGGGGTCAAATACTTATTTCCCTCATTAAAATGCAAATCAATTTATAACATTTTTGACATGCGTTTTTCTGGATTTTGTTGTTGTTATTCTGTCTCTCACTGTTCAAATAAACCTACCATTAAAATTATAGACTGATCATGTCTTTGTCAGTGGGCAAACGTACAAAATCAGCAGGGGATCAAATACTTTTTTCCCTCACTGTACTGAGATCATGTGACACTTAGATTGCACATAGGTGGACTTTATTTAACTAATTATGTGACTTCTGAAGGTAATTGGTTGCACCAGATCTTATTTAGGGGCTTCATAGAAAAGGGGGTGAATACATATGCACGCACCACTTTTCCATTATTAATTTTATTGAATTTTTTGAAACAAGTTATTTGTTTCATTTCACTTCACCAATTTGGACTATTTTGTGTATGTCCATTACATGAAATTCAAATAAAAATCCATTTAAATTACAGGTTGTAATGCAACAAAATAGGAAAAACGCCAAGGGGGATGAATACTTTTGCAAGGCACTATATACTGTATCTCTGAACAACATTTCGAAGCACATGTTGTACATATTTCTACACAGATGCATTACACTTACATACGTGTACATAAAATGGTAGGTTAATCATTTCCATGTACACTGTATATATTTTCTAGGCTGTTGGTAATTCCATTCTCCCTTGCCCCAATTCCTACCCATAGACTTCCCCAAGGAGCTGCAGTTCTTGAACAACCCCTGTGAGAAGTGCTGTTGCTCAGCTCCACCTCCAAAGATCAGTGACCTGATGGATGACAAGGACTTGCTGGACTTACTGCGTCTTAAACTGGACCCAAATCATTGCACTGTTAAGAACTGGAAGAACTTTGCGAGCCGTTGGGGTATGAGCTATGATGAGCTGACTCTGCTGGAGCACCGGACCCAGGGCTCAATGTGCCACAGCCCCACACAAGAGTTCCTGCAGCGCAACAACCACAAGACCGTCACTGAGCTCACCGAACTTTGCCGGGTTTACCAGCGCATTGATGTGCTGCGGCTTCTGCAACGCTGGATGGAGAACGACTGGCCCTCACGCTGGCAAAATGCTCATTAACCACTTGCCCTATCCCCACCTCTGAAAATCTGCATATAACGTTTTACATTTTGCTCTACACTTTATTGAATTAGCAATCACAACAGGGACTTGGACCATTTGTTATCAGAAGCCCATTTATTTAACAACCAGTGGTCCCGGATTTTGGTTGAGTTGGTGTGCCAAAGACCAGTGGCTCACATTTTATAACTCCTGTGGAGTTGAGGACTGAATAGGACTGATTTCTGTTGTGTACTCTTTACCAATACTGTAGTTCTGAGCATCTCAACTAGCACATTATTTTCTTTTTCAAAGGTCCAGCAACCTCAGAATTGCTGTGGGTCCAATAGTGACGGGTTGTTCGCGAACTAATGGCTCTTTTTGAACAGATCTTTTTGGTGAACGTCAGGAAACGAATCGCATCGTTGAAAGAGCTATTCATTTGGCTCCCTGATTTGCATACTGCTACTATGCAAATACTACGTGTACGTTCTGGTCCACACTCATCTTTGCATTGCGTTAAAAATAAATAAAAACAAAAATTGTCGATGATCTAATAATTTGGCCATGTAAACCTTTATTTGAACGCGCATTTCACAATCTGACATAATGGTAGCCAACTTTTTGGGCTTTACATTGGAGATTGGAAATCATGGTTCTAGGTCGATTTTTAAGCATTTTGAATGAAGAGCTGTTTGGGAGCCAAATAAGCCGGCTCTTTTAAGTGAATGGAGCCAAATGAGCTGGCTCACCGAAAAGACTCGGAATGCCCATCACTAGTGTCCAAGTGTTGGTATTCCCAAAAAAATGACCAATGGGCTAGAACATAGTAAGTGGAACTGTGTAAACCAACATGGCACATCAAGAAGGTAAAGTGGGAAAGAGAGAAGGAGATTAAAAGGGTGAACTGTTAATAATTATTTGCTTATTAGAACAGTCAATGTATATATATAACGATCAATAACGATCAATGTAGTATATATAATATGGCAAAGGAGACAGCGTTGAGTTTTGGTCTTTATAGTCTCATAAAAACATGAATCATCTCCAAATATTGTATTGTTTGTATTCATAGTTAATGAGTCTTGATTATTTTGGGATAGTTTGATGAAGCTGAGGTCATGTTGTCAAATGAGATATCTCACTACGGTCTGAATCATAATTAGCAATTTTCCCTTAAGTTTTATCCTTTTTGTGGTTACAATTCCTCTCCCCTCCACCCACACTTGAAGCAAATAAAAGCTAGATGTTTTCCATCTTCTTTCTAATCTTATGAACTTTTCTTCATCATTGAAAATACAGTGCTGAAAAAAAGGTTTTCTGTTGGAAGTTACCCATGAGAGTTTGAGCTTTCTGTTTGTATGATTATATAACTTGGTAGATGTTTATCTAGATTTCAGTGATGAATATCCAATCAGAGGAATTCAAGCCTGTCATGTAATTATACAGTATCATATGGTTGTAGTCAATTATCAATTAATAGTCTATCATCAATAAATGATAAAGAAACATAATGGACGTATTAATATAATAGTTTATTGGAAAAAAATCTCATGCATAGTTTAATTACATTTCACTGTTCAACTATTGTTTTTGCTTAAAATGTTAAAATGTAAAGATGACATCTTCCATACAGATTGTGTCCCCTTTGTGGGTGAAACTTGTCTGAATTGTGAAAGATACAATACTGAGGCATTTGTAAAAATGAGTATACTTCCAAGTGAACAGAATTTGGGAAATAGTACCATAATTTGAAAAAGTTTGAGTACACATAGAGCTAATGAGCACATTTTCCTTCATTTTGATGTCAACTGTTGAAATATAGATGTAGCATATGGATTAATACAAACAGATATCTGAGACAAAACTACATAAAAAATTATTACATGTTTCTGTTTTGTTTTCTACATAGAAAGAAACCACATCCTCAACATGGAGTCAACTCATGCACAAATGGAATGGTGCTTATTTACAAAATAGTTGCATTCATGTTGGTTTATCCCAAATGTAAGGTTCACATGGCTGGAAACTAGGAATAATCTGCATCGGGATCTGTGATATTCAGACCAAGCATATTGGAGAGGCTTATTGATATGCTATTGTTTCCATCCGATGAGTCCAGTGCATCTGAGTTGATTTTTGCTTTGAACACCTTCAACCGCTCCATGATGTTAATAGGTCCTGAAGGTGATGTCTCTTTCCCTCCTTCATTCAAAGATACATTCACTTTAGACAAACTGACCTCTGTACTAGCTGTATCAAGGCCTCCTTCAAGCTTTGGTGTGTCAATGGCCTCAAAAAGGGCCTCAGCAGCATCTTTGAGCGCACTCTCAATCTTGTTGTTCTGTGGAAGTCTGTGAAAGGTAAACATTGGTACCTCTACCTGACCACTCTCTGTTTTATCCCCACTCTGCTCTTCCTCATTGTCCACGTCAGAATCCTTACCTTTTGAGCCAGAATAATCAAAGCTTGGCCACTTTAATGGCCATTTTAACTTACTTTTGTGAGTGTCATCTACTTTGATGTCAGCGTCATGTAAATTGACGTCTAAATCTGGCATGTCAACATTGGCCTTAACGTCAGGAGCAGAGAGACTCAGTTCAGGTGTACTATTCTCTCCCTCAACTTTGGGGACAGAAACTTCCACATCAGGCGTATTCACATCTGCATAGGCATCAAGTTCTGGTACCTTTATTCTAGGTCCTGAGAGACCAAACTTTGGCATCTTAAAATAAGGCAGTTTTCCAGAGGGAGCGTCAATGTCAACATCTGGAGCTTTCAATTCGACCTCAGGGCTTTTAATGTCTCCCTGCACACTCAGATCAATGTCTGGGACACTTACTCCAATCTCTGGGGTAGAGAGATTAAGATCAGGAGCATTCAACTCTACCTCAGGGCCAGAGAGGTCAGCTTTTGGTAAACTTAGATTTATATCTGGTGCACTGATATCACTTTCAACATTAGGAGCAGATAGATTTAGATCTGCTTGAGGTATATCTAAATCTACCTTTGGGGCTACAAGCCCAGTCTCAACTGTGGGAACTAAAATATTTATGACAGGTGCATCAACGTCAAGGTTGGGTCCCTCCAGTTTATGATTTGTTTTCAGGTCTAGGTCATGACCTTGAAGGTCTACTTTTGGTAAATTCACATCGACCTCTGGAACTGATATGTCTAAATCTTGTATCTTAAGCTCAATTAATGGAACCTCAATGTCGAGATCAGGGGCTTTAAGGTCTACTTCAGGCACATTAATATCAAGACATGGAGCAGCGATGGCTCCCTCAATTTTGGGGGCAGGAAGGTCTGGTGTTTTCAGCTCTACAACACAGGCTTGGAGGTTAGCTGTTGGTAAATTGACATACACATCAGGAACAGAGACATCCAACTCTGGGGCCTTTTGATTAGCATCCATGTTTGGTCCTTTAACTCTTGGCCCTGTTAAACCAAAATTTGGCCGTTTGATTTTAGGTAACTTGAATTTTCCAGAGGGAGCATTAAGGTCAACATCTGGAGCTTGAGGATCTACCTCTGGACCTTTGATGTCAGCTTCAGGCAAACTAATACTCAAATTTGGAGCAGCGATGGCTCCCTCAATTTGGGGGGCAGAAAGATCCAGGTCTGGTGTTTTCAGCTCTACAACATGGGCTTGGAGGTCAGCTGTTGGCAAATTGACATCCACATCAGGAACAGAGACGTCCAACTCTGGGGCCTTTAGATTAGCATCCAGGTTTGGTCCATTAACTCTTGGCCCTGTTAAACCAACATTTGGCAGTTTGATTTTAGGCAACTTTAATTTTCCAGAGGGAGCATCAAGGTTGACATCTGGGGCTTGAATATCCACAACCAGTCCTTTGAGGTCAGTTTCAGGCAAACTCACATTGAGATCTGGAACAGCAATGTCTCCCTCAATTTCTGGTGCTGAGAGGTTGAGGTCTGGTGTTTTTAAGCCGACATCAGGCCCTTTCGGATCTGCTTCGGGTAAGTTAACATCAACATTTAATTCTGGGGTGTTAAGATCAGCATCTACATCAATCTCCGGTCCTTTTACTTTTCTAATTTTTGGCCATTTTATTTTCGGTAACTTCAATTTTCCAGAGGGAGCATCAAGGTCTACATTTATATCTGGTCCTTTGAGGTCAGCTTCAGGCAAACTGACATTGAGATCTGGAACAGCGATGTCACCTTCAATTGCTGAAAGGTCCAAATCTGGTGTCTTCAGATCAGCATCCACATCAAGGTCTGGTCCCTTCACCTTATGTCCAGACCAGTTAATTTTGGGCATTTTAAAAGTTGGAAATCTATGTTTTCCAGAGGGTGCCTCAACGTTGACCTCTGGTGCCTGAAGATCTACATCTGGAGCTTCAAGGTCAGCTTTGGGTAAATTAAGATCTACATCTGGTGCACTTATTTCTCCATCAATGTTTGGAGTGGAGCGATTCAAGTCAGGTGCAGACAGGTCAGCATCTATGTCCACTTCGAGTCCCTTAATCTTGGGTCCAGAGAGTCCAAATTTGGGCTTTTTTAGAGTAAGCCATTTGAATTTCCCTGAAGGGGGCTCAATGTCCACTTCTGGTGCGTTAAGGTCTACTTCAGGGCCTTCAATATCTGCATTTAGCAAATTGATGTCCAAATCAGGCGTGTCAAGCCCTGCATCAACATCAGGGACAGAGAGACTGAGGTCAGGTGCCTTCAGATCTGCATCAACATCTGGAGCTTTTATCTTTGGTCCAGAGAGCCTGAATTTAGGCTTTTTGAGTGTTGGGAACTTAAATTTGCCAGTGGGAGGATGAATGTCAACATCAGGGCCACTGAGGTCTGCTTTGGGTAAATTCAATTCTAAATCTGGGGTGCTCATCTCACCCTCAATCTTTGAGGCAGAAAGATCAACGGTTGGTGTCTCCAGATCTGCCTTAACATCCACATCAGGGGCTTTGACTTTTGGCCCATGAAGACCAAATTTGTGTTTCTTTAAATGAGGCCATTTGAATTTACTTGAGGGAGCCTCAATGTTGATATCTGGAGCTTGCAGATCTACCTCAGCTTTTGGTGAACTCAGATCTACATCTGATGCGCTTATCTCTCCATCAATGTTGGGAGTGGAGAGATTCACGTCAGGTGCAGACAGGCCAGCATCTATGTCCACGTCAGGTCCCTTCACTTTTGTTCCAGATAATCCAAACTTGGGCTTTGTTAGAGTTAGCCATTTGAATTTGCCTGAAGGAGCCTCTATGTCACAATCTGGAGCTTTCAAGTCAGCATTTGGACCATTAAAATCTACATTTGGGGCTTTAATTTCCACATCAGGGGCTGAAAGGTTCAGGTCTGGTGTCTCCATCTCTCCACTGAGACCAGGGCCTTCTAAATCTGCTGATACGTTCACGTCTTCCTTTGGTGCTTTGGCTTTTATGTGTGGTAGATTGAAGTGAGGCATTTTTAATTTTGGATGCTTGTACTTCAATCCATTCGTCTTAACCTCTGGTTTCTCCAAGTCAAGTGAGGCATCTGGAGTGCGGAGCTTTGGTATTGATAGACTGTCTTCAGGGCATCTGAGGGTGCCATCAAGATCTGCTCCTTTCATTACAGGCCTAGACATTCCAATGGTGGACATTGTGAACTTTGCATCACCATCAGTTCCAGGTGTGTCCAATGTCACATTGGGCAATTCCCCATTCAAAGTGGTACCATTGATTTCACTCTTCAACCTCCCTTCAGCATTTAATTGTCCACTGAGGCCATCGACCTCAATAGTTGGTGTCTCAACTGATCGCTGCATTCTGCTGTAGGTATCCTTGAGCATCTGTAGACAATCAAATAGTAAATAAAGCATAGTGCTATGTGGTACTTAGTGGGCAAATACTAAGGTATTGATCCATAATACATTATTGGCATAATTCTTCAAAATAACCTTGGAACTATTATGTCAGCATAGTGCAATGACTGCTGGCATAAATCAAGTAAATTTGATTCTGACACTTACATCCCCAGGACCTTTGAGGCCACCGTCCAATGAGCAGAGACTGACGCTGGCTTTCAGATCCTGCTTTGTCATAACTCTCATGTTGTCATTGTAAGGCTCCATGATCTTGAGTAATTGTATCCTGTCATCTTTACTGAGGTGGTTCAGATTTATGGTGACAGCAACAGTCTCATTGTCTAAAAGAGTAGAGAAAAAAGGCTCTGTCATTTAAAAAAAAACTTTTACTAATAATGATCTATTATGATTCACATCTTATAATTAGGAATGTTTTTGATCAGAAAGGAACTAGTATGTGACATTTTACCTTCTTTTAAGCCACTCTTATCAGTGACACTAGGGTCTGTGCTTCCAGTGATGACAACTCCTCCTCTGTCTGAATCCTCCAGGACCAAGCTTTTGGAGTAACGTCTTTGCTGACTTTCCCCGTTCTAGTAAGATGTCAACAATCAAATAAAATGAAATATCAATTGTAGTCATTATCATTAAGCAGCAACCGTTTGTAAAAGTTACATTAGCATGTGTGCAGTATCCATCCAAAGTGGACTAAGAATCTGGTAAGACAAAATATCTATGGTTATAGCCTCAGATTATTTACACTGTGAATACACCCCAGGATAGATGTTTTTAGGAGAACAGACTCCCTCAAGGCTCCTGCTCTTTAAAGGGGCAATCTGCTTTTCAAACATTAACAAAGAGGTCACCCGCCATTGTTTTTGTAAAAAGCTGAGGGATGGGGCTGGAGAAATGTTACCACTCTCAAATTCATAGATAGAGCTATGGTTGCAAGGACTGACCAGCTATGATATAAAAATACTATACAGGGTTTGTTTACAATTATATTGTTTACTAACAATGAAGTAAAATGAGCTTATATTTTGGGTTCTGTTGGGGTACGACAGTTGACCTAAGCACACAAGGCTTTTATAAGTTATATTCTTCATGAATCAATGGAATATATCATTTATTTAAGTACAAAAATGGATGTATCAATCTCAGATTGCCCCTTTAATGGGAAGCATGAAAGGTTATAAAATGTCAGGGAATGTTATAAATTATTTGACTCACCATGATTTCTGAAGTATATTTACAGCGGCATATCAAGAACAATGTCCTCACTATAACCTGTAAAAACAATAACAACAAATAAGTGAGGTACAGTTTGTCTTTACTATCAGTTTATAATGTGATTTTTAAAAGCAAAATTCCCTCTAAAATAAGACATTTAATCTTATAGGGTTTGATGTTGCACAACAATAAAATGTACATTGAAAGATCCTCAAGGACGATTTTCCCTATCATTTTGTAGGAGCCAAATTAAAAATATATTTCAACTTTATATTTTAACCATTTTTATTGTTGGAATTGTTGCATTTACTAATTACAAAACTGCCTCACATTAATATAATATCTGTATGTGGTGATATATCTGTTAATGAAAACTTTTGTGAGGTGAAGCTAGCAGAGAAAAACCACTTCCTCTCCCAGCTCTGTGGGTGAAACATCCACACACAAACACACACAGTTGCACACAGTTAATGCATCTCTGCTCAGACTTACACCTAAACAGTCTTTGCTAGACTTTTGCTACGTCACAAGATAAGGCAGGTGAGATTAATGCTTGAGCATTTCACAAATGGAGTGTCACGGATGTACGTACAGAATAATATGAAATTCTCAGACCAGGTTGCATAACTTAACATGTAAAAACCAACCAAAATATTAATTGGACTGCTGAAAGGTATCCTCACAATTGTTATAATGACAATAATTAACCACTCTAAAGCTTTTGTCATTAATTTACTGCTGGCTGATTGACAGAGAGAGTGACAGCGACACCCACACACAGACAGCCGCACGTTTAGGAACCCCTGGAATGGCCACTGCCAGGATGCTCAGGGGAATGTGTCGCAAAACAGTTGGTTTACATGCATGATAGCTTACATGCCATACCTACTACCACATACTGCCACACCCACTACTGTAATGAATGTCAATGTGTTCACCTGCATTGTGATGCTGAGGGTTCGGGCAGCATGTCAGAAAGAGGGAATGGTGTAAGCCAAATTATGAGTGTCATGATATTGGCTTCAAAACATTACATTATTGCACCAGAAGGGGTGGACTGGGAAAAGAATCCGGCCCAGGTATTTTATCCACACCAGCCCACATCACTGTGCACGCCGCCAACTCATCCCCAGCCATACACACACATCCCATCCCCACACATACACCCTACCCTGACCCTACTTGAACACAGGCAGTAGTGCTGACACATAACATTGGCAGTACAGTACAGCGTTTCTCAACCATTGCTGTACCAGTGACTGACGAGACATGGTCCTCCTCAAATTTTTTAACCAGCTCGTGTTTAAAATAAATACAATATGTAAAAACACCACTGGAGACTATAACTGTGCATCTGCTCTAGTCATTTTGTTTGCCTCCCTGTTGTGCTGTTGATATGTCTCTGCATCTTATGTCAGAGTGATCTTATGTCACTCTGTGCTTCTTATTGTTCTCTGTCTGTCTGCCTGCCTGTCTGCCTGCCTGTCTGCCTGCCTGCCTGCCTGTCTGCCTGCCTGCCTGTCTGTCTGTCTGTCTGTCTGTCTGTCTGTCTGCTTAAGCCTTATATGTTCTAAAAGCCAAGCTAATGACTTAGGCTATATTGCTAATTAGTACCTGTCATACACTACATATATACAAGTATATGGACACCCTTTAAAATGAGTGGATTCGGTTATATCAGCCACACCCGTTGCTGACAGGTGTATAAAATCAAGCACACAGCCATACAATCTCCATAGACAAACATTGGCAGTAGAATGATCTAACAGCTAATAGACCAGACGCTAACTAGAGGTAAGAGACAGAACTAGTCTGTTTGGTAACATCGCTAATAGACCAGACGCTAACTAGAGGTAAGAGACAGAACTAGTCTGTTTGGTAACATCGCTAACAGACCAGACACTAACTAAAGTCTATTAATCTAAAGTGGAAGTTGGGAGAGTTATATTTGAGTGTTTCAGTGAAATGTGAGGGAGGCCCCGCTCTCTCGCTTTCCCAGATGCTTATGTAATACCTTGCTAAAACCAAGTATAGAGTTTATTTGTTATAATTCATTGGTATTAGATTTAAAAGGTGATCGAATAGCTCCTGATTTGTAATGTCATTAATGCATGTCTTTTGAAGCAATGTTTAAAAATGTTTTACAAGTGAATAGGTTGGTTTACTTTTAAGTTTAAGTTTCCCACGTATCTCGTTAAAGTTTTGACCAATGAGGTAACTTGTTAAGTTGTGGCCAATGGGAGAGTGGACTGGTTGCTGGGAAAGAAAAGAAAAGAGAGGGAAACGTTGAAAGAAGGGAGAGGAGAGACGTTAGTGGGGTTGGTGAAGGAAAAACGACCAAAGGAAACGATAAAGAGAGAACAAAAACATACCTACAGAGTTTTTTAAAGGGAAATCCTGATTTTATTTATATAAAAGAGTGTTTATTATTTCATTAAGAAAGACCTAGTAGAGACTGAAGCTGCCGTCGCATTGTGGAGACATTCGACATCCTACAGGTTAGCCTAGCATCGTGCAAGACTTGGAGAGAATTGCTTGTGACGATCAACGAGTTCGGGTTTCCAACGGATGTCTGTTGCTGCTACCGAGTACTGGCTGCATTGATAGCTGTGTTCGCTGTGGATCTTGTGAGGACACCTGCACGGAACTACTATATTTTGCTGAGGCATTATCTACAAGTAGTGAGTAACTACAAATGTGGGGTGGACTTCGGGACTTTATGTATGTCGTCATTTTTTTTATGAGCTCCAACGCGCGCCCAGGGTTTAAGCAAGCTTGCAAATAATTTGGACATGGGTTGTGGAAAAATCATTGGGGTTTATTATTTTTATTTCTTTTGATGTGATACATTGAACATTTGATTAATATAGATCTTGAACCTTATGTCTGTTGTATTGGTGGAGTCATTTACTGTTTCAGTTTCATTTAATGCATGGGAAAGCATATCCTTATAACAATAACCAAGTCTATAATCATTCTATCTGAAGTTAATACCCTATTTGTCATTCACCCTAGCAAGTTTACAATAGGGATTGTTATTGGAGATGTCCTTCTCACCTAATATCCCATGCTGTTCAGATATTCTAAATAAGGTAATATCGTGAGAGTCAAATTCGAGCCTGGTGAGAGGGTTACATTTTTGGGGGCTCGTCCGGGATCTTGGTTATTGTTGATGGGATATTTTTGACTCCCCATTAGACAATTTTGAATGGAAATTTTGGATTTTCTTCTGACATTGCTGTATAGGCATAAACCTACAACATGCATGTTGAAGAGATTGTTACCTGGTGTAGAGAGAAACAGCTAGCTACTAATCGTGCAGTTGTCCTTAGCAGTGTTACAGATGATGTGTCTGATGAGGTTCTGCTGGAAATGCTGACTTATGTTAAGGCTTTTGGTAAAATTAGACTGCATGGTCGTTGTTCTTATTCAGCTGGTAAAAAGCAGTATGTTTTGGTAGAGATATCAAACAACCTTAACGAAATAGCTGTGCCAAGTGTTGTTGGGATACCTGGAGAGTTGGGTCCCTGGCCTGTACATGTAGTTTCACAAGTCACATCTCCAGTTGAGAAAGAGGGTGAAGACTTCCAGGCAAAGCTATTATCCTTTCTGAGATATGAAGGGAAGACTGTGGCTGATGTTAAAGGCCTGGTAAGTCCCTCTGGTGCTGACCTCAACGCTGAACTGGTTACTGCCATAAGTTCACTGGTAGAAAAATGCAACAATGTGCCATCTGAGACTCAGAGTTACCGTAAGCTACGTATGTTCTCAGGTGTGAAGCCCACTCCTAGTGGAGAGGAAGAGTATGATGCATGGGCTGAGCAAACCACCCATTTTCTAGAGGAATGGCAGTGCACCGACAATGTGAAAAAACAGAGAATAATAGAAAGTCTTAAAGGGCCTGCTGCTGACATTGTGGGGTTCTTTAGGACCGGAAACCCCCATGCTACAGTGATCGAATACGTGAAGGCTCTAGAAACCGCATTCGGTACCACCGAAAGTGCACCTGATCTCATGGTAAGGTTCAGAAACACATTCCAGAGTGAAGGAGAGAAGCTTTCAGCTTACCTGTTGAGACTTGACAAATTGCTGCACAATGTATATCGAAAAGGAGGCATTGAGCTGTCAGAGATGAATCGCACACGCATTGGCCAAGTAGTGAGAGGTGCATCCTCACATGACATGGTTGCGCTTCGTATTCGCATGACCTATAAGCTGCGTGATCCACCAACCTTTACTGAGCTGCTGCAGGAAGTAAGGGAGGAGGAGGACATGATTCAAGACAGGAACACAACGAAGAGTGTTGTGAAGTCATCAGCTGTTGCTCCTGTTGCTACAGTTTGTGAAGAAGCTAATACTGAGATAGAAGTGCTGAGAAAAGAGCTAAAAGGTTTGAAAATTGAAATGACATGTCTCATGTCTGCTAACGTCACAGCAGCTCACTCTGACACACAAAGGTCAGATGTTGCATTTAGAAGCAAAAAGAAAAGGGTAAATCCATCACAAGAACAGACACAGGCCGACAGAAACCATGGAGTGTTCTGTTATAGATGTGGAGAAGATGGCCATTTCAAGAGAAACTGTGAAGGTGAAGAGAACTTGAGGAAAGTCAACACACGCCTGATCAAACAAAAACGGTCTATGGGAAACTACAGAGGGACCCAGTAAAGGAGCGGCCTGACGTCCCGGTGAAGATACGTTCCACAAAGTGCCACAAGTATGAAGACATGAAAGACATGCTACCTACAGGTTTAGTTGGCCCAAGTTCTGTCGTTTCTGTACAGATTGAAGGTGTCTATGCTAAAGCTTTACTAGATAGTGGTTCTCAGATTACTCTACTTTACAGATCCTTTTATGACAAGTACCTGACGCATTTGCCATTGATTCCTATAGGAAACTTAGAGATATGGGGCCTTAGCTCTGAGCAGTATCCATATGATGGCTATTTGTCGCTCAAGCTTGAGTTCTCGGGATCGGTTGTGGGCGTAGCAGAGACCATTGAAGCACTTGTGTTGGTATGTCCAGATCCAGCCATGAAAGGTGACGTGTCTATTCTGGTCGGCACAAATACGTCTGTAGTGAAGAGACTTATGACTGCTTGCAGAGAAAAGGAAGGTGAAGGTTTCCTTAGCACACTACAAGTTCATCCTGCTATCAAGGAGGCATATGAGAGGATGAGAGAAACCTCAACTGATGATGATGAGAAGAGAGGAACGGTCTGGTTCGCACAGACAAAACCTGTCACCCTGCCACCTGGTGGGCAGGCGAGAGTTACTGGAATTCCAAAGTTTCCTGGGATACCGTCTACTCAAACCCTTCTGGTAGAGAGGCCTGAAGAACCCCGGTTCCCTGAAGAACTACTAGTGAGGCCTGAAATCCAGACGGTTGCAGTTGTGTCGTCTAGAAGAATCACCCTTACTGTCAGGAATGTCTCGACAAAGGAGATCACTCTGAAATGAGGTATGCCTATTGCTCATCTGTTTCCTGTAGATATTGCTCCTGGGTTTCCATTGAAACGAGAGCAGGATTCATCTGAGAAATTGACGTCTTCTTCATTCAACTTTGGAGATTCTCCAGTGCCTGAGGGATGGAAGAAGAGGTTATGTGAAAAGATGATGGAAACGGAAAGAAGTGTTCTCAACACATGAGTTTGATGTGGGTTGTTCAAAGAGTACTCATCACACCATCAGAGTTACTGAAGACAAACCATTTAGGGAGAGATCTCGCCGCTTGGCTCCAGCTGATGTTGAAGATGTAAGGAAGCATCTAAATAACTTGAAAAGTTCTGGGATCATATCTGAGTCGAGAAGCCCCTAAGCATCTCCTATTGTGGTGGTGAGGAAAAAGAATGGCACCATACGCATGTGTGTTGATTACAGGACCCTCAACAAGCGCACTGTTCCCGACCAGTACACAGTCCCACGTGTGGAGGATGCTCTGACATGTTTGAGTGGGAGCAAATGGTTCAGTGTGTTAGATCTCCGAAGCGGAGACTATCAAATCCCAATGGGTGACATAGATAAAGAGAAGACTGCATTTATCTGTCCAGTTGGATTCTACCAATTTGAGAGGTTGCCACAGGGTGTGTCTGGAGCACCTGCAACATTTCAACGTGTCATGGAACAGACAGTTGGAGACATGAATCTACTCGAAGTTCTTGTTTACCTTGACGACTTAATCGTGTTTGGAAGGACGCTGGAAGAACACGAGCAGAGGTTGCTCAAGGTGTTGGACCGCTTGAAAAGTGAAGGCTTAAAACTGTCCCTTGACAAGTGTCAGTTTTGCCGCACATCTGTCAACTATGTTGGACATATCATATCCCAGAATGGAGTGGCCACAGACCCATCAAAAATTGAAGCTGTCACCACGTGGCCAAAGCCTGAAAACTGTGACTGCTCTGCGTTCTTTCCTAGGATTCTGTGGATATTACAGGAGATTTGTGAAAGACTACTCTAAAGTGAGTTACCCCCTGAATCAGCTCTTATGTGGATATCTTCCCGCAGGCAAGAAAGGGAGAAAGTCCAAGAAAGAGGTGAAAGCCTACTTCAATAACTCAGAACCATTTGGATCAAGGTGGAATGAGAAGTGTGAATTGGCATTCGAGACATTGAAGGAAAGCCTCACAAAAGCTCCTGTGTTGGCTTTTGCTGATCCTCAGTTACCATACGTTCTACATGTAGATGCTAGCCGCGAAGGGTTAGGTGGAGTACTGTACCAAGACCAAGGTGAGGGTCTGCGTCCTGTGGCATTTGTGAGTCGAAGCCTGACCGCTTCTGAACGCAACTACCCAGCTCACAAGTTAGAGTTTCTTGCGTTGAAGTGGGCCGTGGTTGATAAACTACATGATTACCTGTATGGGGTCAAGTTCGAGGTTAGAACAGACAAACAACCCATTGACATATGGTCCTCACGTCCGCAAAACTGGATGCCACTGGTCATCGTTGGCTGGCTGCGTTGTCTACCTATGACTTTAGTCTCAAGTACAGGCCAGGCAGGCAGAACATAGATGCCGATGCTTTATTCTCGCCGCCCTCATCAGCAATATGCAGTGGAACAAGATTGGAGAGACATTCCTGCATCCGGTGTTAGAGCCATGTGCCAGATGTCTAATGTTGTTAGAATAACTCCTGGATCATCTCATAGTAGAGTGATTGATCAGTTGGGAGCCTCTATGCATGCTGTGCCTCAAGCATACTGTAACCTGAGCATGCTGACGTCTAACATGCCCAGATTGAGCACTATGGAACTTTCTGCATCGCAACAAGAAGATCCTTGCTTAGGAGAGATGTGGGTTGCTCTTAATAAACATGATATCACCAGGGTGACCAGGACAAAACATCCACTCATCTCTTTGCTCCTGAGAGAGTGGGAGAAGCTAAAGATGGAAGATGGAGTTATGTACAGGATCACACATCCGCCAAACAAGACTCGTCGTGCTCAATTACTTATTCCAGAGAAGTTCAAAACTATGGTTCTCACGTCGCTGCATGATGACTCAGGTCATTTAGGATTTGACAAGACATATGGACTTGTCAGAGACCAGTTTCTACTGGCCACGCATGAAGATGGAAGTAGAAGAGTACTGTAAGTCCTGTGCTCGCTGTGTACAGAGGAAAACACTTCCAAAGATAGTTTGCTCCGCTTGGTCATATGCAAAGTGATGGACCTATGGACCTTGTTGTGTATGGATTTTCCTGTCCATTGAGCCTGACTCCAGTAACACAGCGATGTTCTTGTCATTACGGATCATTACACAAGATACGCTCAAGCTTTTCCTACGAAGGATCAGAAAGCATCCACGGTCGCCAAGGTATTGTGGGAGAGGTACTTCATCCATTATGGTCTGCCCAAGAGGATGCATAGTGATCAAGGGTAGAGATTTTGAAAGTCGACTCATCCATGAGCTACTGAATATGCTTGGAGTGGAGAAGTCAAGGACAACACCATATCATCCTCAGGGAGATCCGCAACCCGAGAGATTCAACCGAACCTTGTTGAACATGCTTGGAACTCTTGATCCTACACGAAAGAACAAATGGAGTCAGTATGTTGGGCATCTAGTGCACTCGTATAACTGTAGTCGGAATGAAGCGACTGGCTATTCGCCATATTTTTTGATGTTTGGACGTGAAGCTAGATTGCCTGTTGATATTTGTTTTGGAGTCTCGAGTGATAGCTCTTCAGAGAGAACTTACCTCAAGTATGTATCTGATATGAAGAAACAGTTACAAGCTACTTACAAACTTGCTGAGAGCACTGCTGGAAAGCAAAACCAAGAAACAAACAGCGATATGATAAGAAGATCCGCTACACGCAACTTATGCCTGGAGACAGAGTCCCTCATACGGAATCTAGGACTGCAAGGAAAACATAAGCTGGGCAGATCGCTGGGCCTCTACGCCATATGTTGGTGGAAAGTCAGATGTCAAACTTACCTGTGTTTCGTTTGAAGCCTGAAATTGGAGATGGACCCATTAAGATTCTTCAATCGAAATCACCTGCTAACCACTGGGGCAGAAAGTGCGCATAGAACCTGTGGTTTAACATAGAACCACACCTGGTAGAAGGACCCTGCAAAGAAGGAGGAAGAGAAAGGGACATGAAAGTTGCCTGGAAACTGTACTCCTCGGAATGATGAGAAAGTTGAAGAGGTTGAGAATCCAGAAGATGAGAAGGATTTTGACTCAGAATATGAGGACATCGGAGTATGGTATGAAAGTGCCAACTAACAACCTGTAAAAGCCGAGAAGTGAAGAGATGTCGGAAACCATTTAGCTTGGACTTAGACATAGTTTTGGAATCAAATGACAGGGGGAACCTGAAAGAGCAGACGAAGTTCTGGAAGTAAAAAGAGTCCAGTCAAGAAGCTGAGGTCGCAACTGGAGTTGAAGTAGATGATAATGAGGCATCTAACTCAGTTGAAGAGATTACAGAAGAGGAACGAGAAGTTCAGGGAGAAGTGGAAACTTCTGAGGAAATGGAAGGACCAGGGATAAGAAGATCTCAAGGGGAAATAAAGAAAAGGGCCCGTATTTCTTAAACCCCCGAAAACCCGGGTTCCCCAATTTTAGCCCAGTTGTCCGATATTTTTCCCAAAATTGTAAAAGTGGGTTGGATAAAGGGGGAAAAACAAATGTATTCAAATTTTTAAATTTTCTAACAGTTTTGGGCTCAGTGTAGGTTTTTAGTTTAAAAGTTTTACACATTTACTTGTCATTTCATTTCACTTTGTTTTTCAAGGGCATGGGCATGCCTATTTTGGTGGGGGGAGAGTTTTAATACCTTGCAAAAACCCAAATATGAGTTTTTTTTGTTAAATCTTTGGGGTTTTGATTTTTTAAAAGGGGTCGAATAGTCCCGATTTGTTAATGTCATTAAGATTCTTTTGAAGCAAAGTTTTTAAATTTTTTTTTCAAGTGAAAGGGTTTGGGTTTTTTTTTTAAAAATTTTTTAAATTTCCCACGTATTCCCTTAAAGGGTTTTGACCCAAAGAGGAATTGGGTTTAAATTGGGGGCCCAAAGGGAGAGTGGTGGTTGCTTAAAAAAAAAGAAGAGGGAAAGTTTAAAAAAGGGAGAGGAAGACGTTAGTGGGGGTTTGGGGAAGGAAAAAAAAAACCAAAGGGAAAAGATAAAGAAAACAAAAACATCCTACGGGGTTTTTTTTAAAGGGGAAAACCTGATTTTAATTTTTATAAAAGAGTGTTTTATTTTTCGTTAAGAAAAACCTAGTAGAGACTGAAATGCCGTCGCATTTTGGAGACATTCACATCCCACAGGGGGTTTCCTAGCATCGTGGGAAAACTTTGGGGAGAATTGGGTTGTGACGATCAACATTGGGTTTTCCCCAAGGGTGTCTGTTTCTGTACCAGTACTGGCTGCATTGATAGCTGGGGTTCGCTGTGGATCTTTTGAGGACACCTGCAAGGAAAATACTAATTTTTGGTGAGGGATTATTAAAAATAGTGAGTTTTAAATACAAATGTGGGGTGGACTTTTGGGACTTTTTGGAAAGTCGTCATTTTTTTTTTTAATTTAGCTCCAACGCGCCCCCGGGTTTAAGGGAAGCTTGCAAATAAATTTTGGAAAAAGGGTTTTGGAAAATCATTGGGGGGGTTTTTTTTTTTAAATTTTTTTGATGTGATACCCTTGAACATTTATTAAAATGATCTTGAACCTTATGTCTGTTGATTGGTGAGCAATTTTCTGTTTTCAGTTTCATTTAAAGCAGGGAAAGCATATCCTTATTCAAAACCAAGTCCTTTAAACATTTTAAACTGAAGTTAATACCCTATTTTTCATTCACCCCAGAAAATTTAAAAATAGGGGGTTTATTTTAGTGTCCCTTTCCCCCTAATCCCAGCTGTTTTAGAATTCTAATAAAGGTAATATGTGGGGGAGTCAAATTCGAGCCTGGTGAGAGGGGGGCACTTAGTTAATTTCATTCCGATCCCCCTTTGCATTTTGTGCCTTTTTGAGCCTGTCAACTTGTGTTTGTCTATCCCTTTTCTCCTCTCCAACCGGGCCCTACCAAAAGCTTCACGGCGTGGTGCTTTCCACTCTAATCTGGTGGTTTCCCCGCGCGGGAAAGACCCCCCGTGGAGTTTTCCCGGTCTCCGGAGCCTTGGAAATGCCCTTCTGGGCCCAAAAAGGCGAGGGTTTATCTCGCCTATGCACCCCCCATTTCCCCGACTCTTTGGGGCCCGATGGATTTCAGGGTTAAACCCCAGGGAAAAAAATGCTACTCCACTGTCTTTCCCCGTCGCCCTGGGTTCTCGCCTAACCCCCAAGGGATTGGTCAGCGGGCGGGGACAGGAATCCTCATTTTCCCAAGTGGACATTCTCTTTTCCCCTCGTTATCCCCCTCTTTTAATTTTGCTTCACGTTTCCCGGGGCCCTTCAAAAATTAACATCCTTTTCATTTTTCGCCCCCAGGTTCCCTTGGAGATTTTATCAAGAGCTTGAGCCTTGAAAAGTTCCTTTCCGAGGATGGGCCAAACCCCCCACAGTTTGGGTGACTTTAAACCCCCCTACTCTTTCCTTTTAAATAATTTTCTCTGCCTCCTTCTTTCCCCCTCCTTTTCCCCTTTTGACCTCCCCCTCAAAACCGTCCCCCCCTCCCCACAAAGGGAGGCAATACGCTTTACCTAAACTTTACTAGATGTGTTCTTTAAAAATAATCCACTTTTTAAATCCCCTCCAAGGTTTTCCCACCACTCTTTTTATCCTTTTCTCTTCGCTCTCCTCCAACACTACTCCCCCTTTCCCGCCCCTACTAAAATTTTTAATGTTCCGGCGCAACCTTCGCCCCTCTCTCTCCCGCTACCCCTCTCCTCTTCCCTCCTAAACATCTCTTCCCTCTGCTAAAACCTTCTCCCTCCCAAAATTTCCCGTTCCCGATTTTTTTTAACCCTCCCCTCCCCCCTCTCTGAATATTTTGGGCCCCCTCTATGTCCCCCCATTTCCCCCCGGCCGGCCCCGGTCCTCCCCCCCCTGCTCCGTGGCTTGACACTTCCCTTGCGAGCTCACAGAACAGGGCTCCCGGGGAGCCGACGGAAAAGGAAGAAAAAATAACTCCCTGCGGGCCTGTCATCATTCCCCTCCCTCCCCTAAATTTCTTCCCCCGTTCCTGCTGCTTAAAAGCCACTTTTTTTAACCCCCTCTAAAATTTTTAAACCCTTGCCTCTAACCCTTTGGGGAACTTTTGCCCCTTCTCCTCCCTGTGGGAAACCTCCTCCCCCCTCCCCCCTCCCTCCTCCTCTCTGTGGATGGGCCCTTTTTCAAAAACCCTTTTGAAAAGAAAGGGTTTACGACATCCGTCCTCATTTATTAAAATCCCAAAAGACCCATGGTCCTTTCTCACACTGCCCCATCCACTTTGCTCATTCTCCCCTCTCTCTCCAGATGAAAATTTTTCAACTTGTGACGGCCGGCCGCCCCCCAAAAACCGCCCCCTTGGGCCCCATCCCCCCCTCTCTTCTCCAGGGCCTTTTCCCGGGGACCTTTCCCTTACCTCAAGCTATCAATCATCCTTTACCGTTTGGGTAAAAGGTTTTCCCTTCCGTTTTAAAAAGAGCAAAGTGCACCCCTTCCTTAAAAAAACCCACACTCGATCCCCCTTTTGTCAAAAACTACAAGGGCCAATTTTTCCCCTTTTCCCTTTTTTCTCCAAAACTCTTGAGGTTTCCCTTTTAGCCAAAATCTTTTTGCTATCTATCTCAATTACCTTCTTTATCCAAAACCCGTTAGGTTTCAAAATGGGCATTCCCAAATGAACTGCATTCTCTGTGTCCGGAGGTCTCCCCACTGCTAAACTTTAAATCTACCCCCTCTGCTCTTGGGCCCTTTTAGACCTGTCGCTGCCTTTGGTACGGGAACCCCTCAGACCTCCTCTCCACCCTCTCCGAAATTGGGGATCTCCGGCCCCGGCTCACTTTGGATTGCTCCCACCCGACAGGTCGCCCTACCCAATGGCGTGGCGGGGAACTGTCTCCGCCCCCCGTGCTTTTTCACCACGGGGGGCCCCCCCCGGGGTCAGGGTTTTAGGGCCCCCCTCCTATTCCCGCCCTTTTCCCAACACTTGGCTCGTCAAAATTTCCCCAAAAATGGGTCCCCTATATTGCAGCAGAGGGCACACAACAATCTTCTCCTTTTCCCCCTTTCTGATAACCAGGGGGGAATGCACTTCCCCTGTTGGCGGGAAAATCAGGGGGGATACGGATCACCACCTCAAGTGAACCTCGGCAAAAAGGAAATGCTCTTTCCCCCGGGGAGGGCTGCCCGTTCCATTATTTTCGCCATCCGGTTGACCCAAATCTTTTTGTCCTTCCCCCCAGATGAAAAGCCTTGGGGGGGACCCCGGGGCCAAAAACCCTGTCTTTCCCCCGGTAAAAATCAAGGCGGGGACCCGATCCTGATGTTTAGGTTTTACAACTTCGGAAATCCCACCCTGGGCCTTTCACAGGAAGCGGGACAGGTCCTAATCCAGGCACTTTTCCTCTCCCATCTTTTAATGAACCACTGTTTTTGGGGGGGGCCCCCGGCCCATGCCATTAAACCCCCACCCAATCATCCAGAATTTCCGGGAGGGCCCCCTGGTGTTTAAACCCTTTCCCAAATTTTTCTCACGTCAACCCCCGGTCCTCCGCCCCCTCCCCGGGTTCCAGTTTTAAGCTCCATCTGGTACAAGACCATGGGGCTTTCCTACGGAGCTGTGAGGGGAACCCCAACCCCCCGTTTCCTTTTTGGCCCCTTATCAGTCCCTACAAACCCAAAACGAGGGCATTTTCGTTCACCACCTTGGGCCGCTGGCCCCCCCACCCCTGCGGAAGCACAGTTCCTGCTCAGCCCCTCAAAAAATTCGCTGCTCTGGCACCCCCCGAACAACTCCCCCACGACGCCCGGACAGCCGGGGGTCACTCAAACCAACCCTTCCCGGGGGGACACTGAAAACCCCCCCCCTCCCTTTTGGGAAAACCGGGTTGGAAAAAAGTAATCCTTCTACCCCCCCCCTTACCCCCCCCCCAAAAAAAAAAAAAAAACAAAATTTTTAAAGGTGATCGAATATAGTTTTT